AAAAAAAAAAAAAAAAAAAAAAAAAATTTAAAGTGCTTATGTAACATTCTAGAGTGGGAGGACTTTGAGACAGTCTGTGAGAAGCCCCAGCATGGGTGGGCAGTAAGACCAACATTGTGAGCATGAGTCTTGAAATAGACACGGGGTTGAATTTTGCCCTTACTATAGCCAGCTGAGTTGGGGTGAGTTATTTAACCCACATAAGCCCCAGTCACTGAATACACTGGACACCAACTCTGAGGCAAGCAGTTTCTTGCTATGGAAAGCGAGGATAATATCAGTACCCCCTTCCTCGGGTTGATACAACTTGCAGTTAGATGCTCTCAGGCAACTCGATTTAGTGTCTGGTGTGCAGGAGTTTCCCTTAAATGTTAGAGTAACCTAATCCACCTACAGGAGCTGGGAGGTTGGTGTATAAGGACTGGGAGCTAACTGGATTAGAAAGCCATCAGTGATACTGCAGGGAGGACATCCTTGACCTCAGGCCTCTGCCTTTAGGTTGGGGCCACTACGACCGACCGGCAAGCTCATCCAGGTGTAGACAGAGGCTGGTGGCTCCTGGCCAGCTCAGAGTGTTTCCTTTTGCTTGGTAACCAGGAGGAGTGGCTGAGGAAGGACATGGAGCGGAGCAACACAGCTAAAAAGCGCCCGCTCTGGATCCCGCCGGCTCCCCCAGACTGAAGGAGGCAAGTGAATGGGGAGTTACTGGGAAGAACAGGCCGGGCTGAGGGCTTAAAAAGGCTCTAAACCCTTACTGTCTGCCGGGAGCCTGGGGCTCTGCCCGACCTTGGCACAAAAGGTGAGGTGGGGAGCTGAATGTCCGATTTGGGATGAGTTCCCCCAAAGCCATGAACCGGCGTCCTGGGGAACCGGGTCGCAGGGACGGGAGGTGGTTAAGTAGAAAGTCCTGTCTGCACACCCCCTCCCTCCGCCGCAGGTCTGGATCCGGAGGAATCCCCAGTAAGAACGGCAGCCACCCGGGGGACCCACCATGTACGCGTACAGCTGGCTGTCGCCCAGGGAGGGCATCTGGCCGCCGCAGCCGTTCACCTGCGCCTACCTGGCTGCCCCTCTGCTCCTGCCCCCCATCCAGGCCCATAGTTTCCGCAGCCGGCCCGGGAGCCTGCACACGGGCGAGTGGGCAGCCCCGCGAGAATACCACCGCTTCTACGACCCCGCCGCGCCGCCCGAGACTGCACAGCCCTGGTGGGCCTGCCCTCCGGCCTACGCCGCGGCCCTGCGCCCCCGCTGCCCCGCAGCCAGAATCTCGGGACTGTCGCTACAGGCGCCAGCGGCTGCGGCGGAAAGCTGGACGCCGTGGCCCGAGGGCGGCAGCCTACAAACCGAGCTACGCTGGGGACGCGTAGAGCGCGCGCGAGGCCCGCCTCTGCAGCTGCCCGACTTCGTGCGCCGGGAGCTGCGGCGCGCGTATGGCACCTACCCCCGCGCCGACGTGCGCGTCACCCAGCGCCGCGGCCAGTTCCTGCTTCAGGCGACTCCGCGCGTGCGCGAGCCCGAACGCCGCGTGGAGTGGTGCGTGCGGCGCCGTCCAGACAGCGGCGACAGCGGCTCAGGTCAGGAAGACGCGGAGCGCGGCCGTCCCAGGAAGAGCAAGGCCCTGAGCTGAAGGCGCCGACAAGCCTAGCGACCGGCCCGCGTGCATGCGTGCGCGGCTCCCTCCTTCCAAGCGAGCCCTCACCTGCGCGCGGGAGCCGGGCGCACCGCTGACCTGCCTTTTTGGCTTTTCCCATGACTGCCCGCCCCCTTCCTGCACTGGTTTCTCTCACCTTATTGCTGGACGGTAAGGAAAGGGCGAGGGCAAGATGGAATCAAGGACACCTCTGGGTGTTCTGTACCTCTTTCCTTCTTGCAGCTTGGGAAGTGGAGGACTTGGGATGGAAGAAGAGCCTGGGCCTCCCTCCTTCCTCTTCCCCATCTTCGCCTAAGGAGCCTGCCCTGCAGTAAGCCCCAACTTTCCCTTCTTTTCCCTCCATCAGAGTTGTCGCCCACCCCCTGTTCCCACCGTCCCCCTACCCCGTCTTCCTGCCAAGCCGAGGGGCCACCGTGATCCTCGGCTTAGTAAGAAAAGTAAATAGGCCGGGCCCAGTGGCTCGCGCCTGGAATCCCAGCACTGTGGGAGGCGAATCGCTTGAGTCCAGGAGTTGGAGACCAGCTTGGGCAGTGTGGCGAAACCTCGACTCTACCAAAAAACCCTAAATTAGCCAGGCGTGATGGCTCACGTCTGT